GTACAGAAAACAGAAAGTGTATCTTTCTGGGGCTGGGGATATAGCTCAGTTGGTAGAGTGCTTGCCCGCACGCATGCACAAGGCCCTGGGTTCGATCTCCAACACACACACACACACACAAGAAAGTGTATCTTTCTGGTTCTGTTAGGTCAAATGCATCATCTTTGTAAGATGGGCAACATATAGACATGGATCCATCTGCTCATGTGTTAGTGCCTACATCTGGCTAGTCACAGGTTTTGGGAGATCAAGAGGCAAGATCAACAGACACAATCTTTTACACAGAGCTGTGTACAGAATAAATTCCTGGCATGCCAGGTATAGTGGTTCATGCCTGTGATCCCAGTGACTGAGGCTGAGGCAGGGGGATCAAAGCCAGCCTCCACAATTTAGTGAGACCCTAAGCAACTTAGTGAGAGCCTGCCTCAAAGTATAAAAATAAAAAGGGCTGGGGATATAGCTCAGTGGTCAAAGCGCCCCTGGTTCAATCTCTGGTAAAAAAAGAAAAGAATAAATTCCTGGCAGCACATCTGATCCTTGCTGGGTTCACCTTCCTTTTTCCTTCAGAGGACTTTTAATTTTGTGCATTTTCATAGTAAGTATTCAATAAATCTCGATTGAGCTGTGGGTTGAAACAAGAAGGACAGAGTGGGAGATTTTAAATGTCCTCATTATCCTCCCAATTTCCTCTTTAAAAATGTCACTTGGTCATTCTTCCCTTTTAAGTTTTATAGCCCCAAAGAAATGAACACTTGGATAATACATGTTGGATATAAATTCTAATTCCTTTTCTGGGAATGTATCTTGGTGACACTCTGTACTATTTTCCTTTGAACTTTGAATGCAGAAGGTTTTTAGAGGCAGCTGAGCCACATAGCATCACCTAATGCCCCTGGCTCTATTCCTTAATATAAAGTTATGGTGGACGTGAAGACCCCCAGCTACCATCATGTCTTCTATGCAGACTATGTGGAAATATTTCCTAAAGTCTAATTCCTGAGAAGATAAGTTCACTTCCAATTAGTTGTTAGAGTAAAAATGACATTTTATCTATCGGTACTAGGGATTGAACTCAGGGTCACTTGACCACTGAGTCACATCTCCAGCCCTACTTTGTATTTTTACTTAGAGACAGGGTCTCACTGAGTTGCTTAGCACCTCACCTCGCCATTGCTGAGGCTGGTTTTCACTTTTTTTTTTTTTTGGTGCTGGGAATCAAACTCAGGGCCTTATGCATACAAGGCAAGCACTCTATCAACTGAGCTATATCCCCAGCCCTGCCTTTGAACTCTTTTTTTTTTTTAAATTAATTTTTAGTTGTTAATGGACCTTCATTTTATTTATTTATATGTGGTGCTGAGAATTGAATCCAGTGCCTCACACATGCAAGGCAAGCGCTGTACCACTGAGCCACGACCGGAACCCCTCCCTTTGAACTCTTGATCCTCCTGTTTCAGCCTTCCAAGCTACTGTGCTCACAGGCATGTGCCAGCATGCCTGGCTGACATTTTTATATTTTATTTATTTATTTTATGTGGTGCTGAGGATTGAACCCAGGGCCTCACATGTGTTAGATGAGCGCTTTGCCGCTGAGCTACAGCCCCAGCTCCTATATTTTAAATCATATGTATAATTTTTTTTAAAAAATTCTTTTTTCCCTCCAAAGGCATAGACAGAGGTTTATTTAGGAAGGTAGATATTTATTCAGTGGAGAATGAGGCCGTCTCCAGAGAGAGAGACAGTCTTAAAAAACATTTCTCAGCTCATCCATCTTTCTTATGGTCAGGTTGATAGAAGTAAGCAGGTAGTCCAGGTCAGGTGTCTCTCCAACAGTATATTACCAGTTTGTTAGTGTTAATGAAACCAATATAAAATTGGGGTCTCCCAAACACATTGCCATTTATATTAATTGACATAAGGTCGGTAGGGTCCAAACACAGATGGCTTTTACTCTTCTCATCAGCACCTTCATTCATTTTCTGATGATTCGAGACATCCTGGAAGATACCATCATTCCCCATTTTATTTATTTATTTACTTATTTAATATTTATTTTTGAGTTGTAGTTGGACACAATATCTTTATTTTATTTACATGGTGCTGAGGATTGAACCCAGGGCCTCGCACAGGCTAGATGAGTTGTCTACCGCTGAGCCACAACCCAGCCCCCCCTCCCCCATTTTAGTAATTAAGAATCCAGTCTGGTTTCTAACTCCAGTTTAATCCTCATTCCTTGTCCTATGCCAGCCCTGGCTAGGATATGACTTAGGGGCTTACAGATGGGTGGGGGTTTGCTCTGTGCATCCATTTCTCTCCCTGTCCCACCTTGGAGTGGAATTTGGGACTTTGGGATTAACTCTGAGGTTTTATGAGCATCAGAGTTAATGTGCACACGGTACCTGCTATGGAATCAAGGTCCCATAGAGGATGGCTATTAATTAAAACTATCCAAGGTTCATGGAGCTAGACTAAACCCATTACTCATTCCACCCTTAATAAGTATATTTCACCAATGCATATTCAACAAATGTATGTGTGATGTGTTATTAAGGAAAAAATCCAAATTCCAAAATGTGTTTTCTTTTTGGTACCGGGTATTGAATCTAGGGATGCTTAACCACTAAGCCACATCCTCAGCCCTTTTTATTTTAAGACAGGGCCTTGCTAAGTTGCTGAGGCTGTCCTTGAACTTGCCATCCTCCTGCCTCAGCCTCTTGAGCAACTGGGATTACAGGAGTGTGCCACCGTGCCGGTTCAAATTTTGTTTTAAACACATTTCTACTCTAATCATCTTAATCATTCCATGTTCAAATTTGACATATAGAGGAAAACTGGTGCATTTTTCCTAACTTCAAGAAGATCTGAACATTTGTTTAGACTGGTAAACTTAACTTTAAAGAGATGGGTGGGGTCTCAGAACATGGAATGAATATTAGAAAACTCAATTTCCTATTACAAATATAAAATGAATAAATACAATTTCTTCCAACAAACAAGTAAACCCAAGGCATGACATTTCTGAGAAATCAGGGTATAATGAGATTGCTTTCTGAGCTCTTCCTGCCCTTGCTCAAGGGCAGAGAAAGAAAGTGTGGAGGGGAGTCTTTCTTTCCTGTGGGGCAGGTTAAATAACTTCCGTGTGATGATCATTCTGAACCTTCTTGGATCAGGGTTTGGGTAGATTTGATAAGTTCTGTTATCTTTAGTTTTGTACTTAATTTTTTTTTTTTGGTGGTGTTGGGGATTGAACCCAGGACCTTGTGCATGCAAAGTAAGCACTCTACCAACTGAGAACGTCCCCAGCCCCTAGTTTTGTGCTTTATGACACAGTATAGACTGGCTGAGAAGCAGTGGCTTTTGTTATTGTGCAAAAAACACCACCTCATATTTTATGTGACTTAAACATGAATAAAAATTTTGGATTGTATACACACATTATAGAAGGATGTATGCTGTATATCACATCCTTGAAGTTAAAGACATAACACTTAGCCATTAAAAGGTCTCAGATTGAGAGCTTCTTGTGAACAAATTATTTAATATTCAGAGCACACATTTTCCAGGAAGGAGTTTCACTTGGAACTGACTACAGTCTGTGTTGTTGTGTCTTCAAGGTAACTGACTTGTAGTTTCTCCAGCCCTTTCCTCTTATCTGTACTCCAAAAGCAATGGCTGGGTCAGAGCATTCTTTTCCCAAAGTCCAGTATCAGCTCAAAGATGCTCAGCTATCTCCAGGATGTTGCTGTTATAGCCTTATATTCTCCTGTTTGTACATCGATTTTATTTAATTTTTCAAAAACCTTTTTATTAGTGCATTACAATTACACATAATCTCAGGGTTCATTTTGACATAATCATATATGCATGGAGTCAGACTGTTTTATTGATTCTGACCAGTTCAGAATTCATGGGCCTCACCACATTTTTATTGGTTACCCACAGGGTGCCAGAGGCAATGACTGTTCAGACCTTTACGTTCACTTCAGTTATTTCTGATGTGAACATAAAGTTATTTCAAGCTCCAGGTGACAACAAACCAAACCTACCATCCCCAATTGGTGACTATGGTCTGTCACACAGCAGCAGAATCTAACATGGAAAGATTCCAGTTTGCCTGGGCCAGAGGTAGACAGTTTTTTTGGTACCAGGGATTGAATTTAGGGGCTCTGAGCCACATCCCCAACCCTATTTTGGATTTTATTTAGAGACAAGAGTCTCACTGAGTTGCTTAGTGCCTTGACATTGCTGAGGCTGGCTTTGAACTTGCGATTCTCCTGTCTCACTAAGATTCCAGGCATGCGCCACCCAACCCGGCTTGGCCATTAATTTTGAAGAGTGTGAAATGGCAAAATAGTTTACATTTTTATAAAACTATATAAGGGCTGGGGATATGGCTCAAGTGGTAGCGCGCTCGCCTGGCATGCGTGCAGCCCGGGTTCGATCCTCAGCACCACATACAAAGATGTTGTGTCCGCCGAGAACTAAAAAATAAATATTAAAAAAAAAAACAAACAAAAGCAATAGCCATACAATAATTGCACGCCTGGGCATTCACTACAGATTTTTGGAAACTTCTGTTCACACAAAAACATGTATAGAAGTTTTATTCATAAAAGCTCAAAGCTGGAAAAACAATCTAATGTCCTTTCATAGATGAATATTTAAACCAACTGTGGTACATCTATACTATATCAGCAAAAAAGAGTGAGCTATTGATACATAATTTGAATCTTTCTCAAGGGAATTATGCTGAGTGAAAAAAGCCAATCTCCACAGGAATCTACTGTATGATTCCGTTTGTACAAACATTCTTAAAAAAAAATCTTGAATATATTATAGTCACAAGTTTTTAATCTCTAGATTGTGCTTCAGGACAAGATAACTTAAATCCCAGAGGCCATGCACTCCCTAGATGCTATCCAAAATTATCTATAATTTTTAACCTATTTGATTAATCATAACAATGGGGTAAAGGATGGCAGACAGGCAAAAACACTGACCTTAAGGTTCTTCTCTGTGTAGTTCCGAGTGTCTAATTATTCTTTCTTCTTTTCTTTCAGTTTTGAAATAGTTTTCCAGATCTTCCTCCTCTTCCCCTTTTCTTCTTTTTCCTCCCCCCTTTTTTTCTTTTCCCTCCTCCTCATCCTATTTTTCCTCTTCCTCCTTCTCTTCTTCTACCTTCTCTTCCCCTTCTTCTACCTCTCCTCCTCCTCTTCTTCCTCTCCCTTTATACAACATTCTTTTTTTAAAGAATTTTTTTAGTTGTAGATGGACACAATCTTTATTTTATTTATTTATTTTTTTATGTGGTGTTGAGGATCGAACCCAGTGCCTCACATGTAAAGGCAAACGCTCTACCACTGAGCCAAACCCCAGTGCTATACAACATTCTTGAGATGGCAAAATTGAAGAGAATAGATTACAGGCTGCCACTGGTTAGGGACAGGGGTGGGTGGAGGGAGGTGGGTGTGGTTATAAAAGGGCAGCACCAGGGCTCAGTCCTGATAGGAGCCTGTGTCCTAACCCTGGTGCTCATTGCATGAATCTACAAGATAAGTCCTGCCATATTAAACACACACACAGAAGTGCATCTAACACTGAAGAGCTTGGTGGATCACATCAATGTCATTTTCCTGGTTGTGATATTGTAGTGGCACCCCCTTTCTCCACAGAAAAGTCTTAACTGGGCTTCTCCAGAAATCTTCACCATGGCTGATTTTAGGACTGTCAGCAAAAGAGTCTCTTTTACAAAATAGTTCAATGTAGATAAAGCTCCTATTTTTGTGTTGCCCTGTCTTTACTCGGACACTGGCCAGGAAGAAATCAGCACTCCAGATGCTGGACACCCCCTTACTAGTTTTTCACAAACATGTATCCAGTATAGTAATTTGTAGAAATGTGTAAACAAGGCCTCTGGCCTTGAGCTGGGCTTCACAGAGATGTCTACATTTCTAAGATAAGTTACCAGTTGGGCTCCCTGGTAACAGCTGGCAGGGGGAGGAAAGAAAGGGGAGGTGTTGTCCTTGAAGAGTGAACTTGCCCAGAACAGTGAGAGGAAAAAAATGCTTTTATGTGAACTTCTGAGCCCCTTCCCTTACATGCTGGGTATAAAATTCTGAAACTACCTGAACTCGGGGTTCAGGGGATTGATGGATTACAGCAAAAGCTGTGTCCTCTGAACCTGGTTGCATCCAAATGAAACTGTTCCCTGCTATCTTCAGTGCCTTGCCTCATCTTTCCTTACAACAATATTGTACTGTAGTTTTATATGACTTTGAATGTGGTGGAGCATGTCTATAATCTTAGCTGCTTGGAAAGGCTGATGCAAGAGGATTGCAAGTTTGAGACCAGCCTAGGCAACTTAGCAAGACCCTATCTCAAAATAAAAAATAAAACGGGCTTGAGAATTTGGCTCAGTGGTAGAGTACCCCTGAGTTCAATCCTCAGTACTGGGGGGAAAAAATTAAAAAAAAAAAAAAAAAAAAAAAAAAAA